GCCACTGCTGCCCTCTGCCAGTGGAGTTCCTCCCTGGGAGGGCAGCAGGGATGGCAGAGCTGCATCTCTGCCACTCAGAAGTGCTAGCTGGGTCCCTGACTGAGTGGTTCCACTGGGCGTGTTGTGCCCAGGAAGATTGATATGCCCCTAAAAATTCACAAGAAAAAGAAACTTTAAAGTACCTAGAGTACTTAACTTAGTTTTGGTGCTCTGGGTTACTGAGGTTAACAATGCTGTAGAACATACAGCTGGGAACTTGAGGCTTTTATGATGGCTAGCTGAATGCCTGTGTTGTAATACAGAAATCAAATATTTGTTTCCTGAGCTACACCTTATATTCATGTTCTGAATGCAGCTGTTTGTTTTCATTACTTTTATATTTTATCATCCAGGTTGAAACTTTCTTGTGAAATTTAAAGCAAGGGCTTTAGTTCTGGCTTTGTCTTTCTGTTGCCAATAGTGCCATGGGTTTTTCCCTGATGGAGTATTCCTTTGTGGTTTTAAATAAATGGAACCATCAGTTGACACTTTTGTGCTTTCTCTTGTGTTTTGGCTACTTCATTATAACAATGATGCATTTGCCAATAGCTTACTGTGTATCTCTGTTTAAGCTTATTTGTACAATTAAACAATTGGAGCTCTGAAGCCTAAGCAGTATAAATGCTTTTAATCCACTGCATTGTTGCAGGTCAGTCTGCAGTACAGAGTTCTTAGAAGGTGACTGTTAAAATAATTTTGTTATTTTTACTTGTATCACATCACTGATTTTCTTTTTTTCTTCCCCAACTAGACTTCTAAAAACTCAACTTAAATCTCTAATTTGAGTTGATCAGTAGAATAACTATCTATAGCTAAAATTTGTGAGCTGCCAAGCTGGCCCCCTGACTCCATCATTCTTCTCTGGGGCTGTTAAGTGACATGATCCCTCATCTCACACTTGTCAGCCTTTTCTATTAGCTACACAGCCAGAAGAATAATAAAAGAAAGCAGCTGTTGGTGAGGTGAAGGACAGGAGTGAAGAATTGGCAAGGAGCTGTTTGGGGGCACTTGGCCAATCCACTTCAGATTCCTAGCACTAACAAAAAGCAACCAGTGAAAGGACACAGCTCTAGAAGTGTGCATTTCCCAAATAATAATAATAAAAAAAGCTAGATCAGATAAACTCATTCTGATTTCCTGTCAGCTCTGCACAATGGAATTGACCCCAGCAGGTTTTCCTGGACAGCCTTCCCCATGACTGAAGGCTTATTTCAAAGGCAGTCACATAAATGACCAATAAAACCCACCACCACCATCATTGTCACCTTGGTATTTCCATTTATTATGCTGTAAAAAGCAACACTATCTGGATTTTATTTCTTAAAATAAATAACTTTCATTTTTCAGAACCAGTACAGCTCAAGTTTAGATTCATTCATGGGAGACTGCTAGAAATACATTCATCACTGTCTGTTCCCCACAGTACAGAATCTAAAAGTCAAGATCAGCCCAGTCAGTTCCAATGACCAGAAGTACACTGCCAATAAGTATAGTCACTGATAGTCCAGCTCTGAAGCAAAAAACACAAAAAAAAAGAATCTGGTACGATACATTTTGTTCACAAGGATCGGCTAATTAATGCTAAGACTATCACAATATTTCTGAGTACAAAGCATTAAGTTAGCTTAACGATTTTAGGCCGTGATACAGAAGAAACATACATGACATAAAAACAAAAGGAGCTGGGGGAATCCTCTTTGGAGCATAAGGAAGTCAGCGGTTCAGAAGATAACCAAAAGCTATTTACGGTAAAATCTACATGTCAGTGTCATGAAGAATAACCAGCCAAACCAATGTACTGCATCTAGTTATATTTATAAATAACGCCGTGTCTAAACAGCTGCACTGCTGAACTGGACATGACAAAATAAAGCATCTTCTCCCAGGGAGAAAATACTAAAACTAACCAGCAAAAATGCACTGAAGCTGAGGCCGGCTAAAAGCGCTCGGGGGATTCAGGGAAGGGGTGAGCTTAGGGACAGCCATGATCTGTAATGTTAACTCGGTTAAAATGCCTTCGCTTGGTGTTGGGGTTTGGGGTTTTTTCCTTAATAGTTGTGTATTATATACCTACCTTTTACAAATGCCAGTTTGAGCAATGCAAATTTCAGTTAAATCAAGAGAAATCAGGTATTTTTCTGAGAAGCCAAAGGTGATGTTTTAACAGGGGAAAAAAAATACATATATGGAAGAAGTCAGATTAGCACTGAGATACAGAATACTAAACCAGAATCCAGCTGAAAACATCCTCTAAAGCTGACTGACCTGTTGCCTGAGAAAACGGGTTGCAGTTGGGCTGGAATTTAGTTCAGGGTGTGGCAGAGAAGAGACCTTGTGCTACTCAGTGACCAGCGTGGCTCAACAAAGAGCCAGAGGCCATTTCGTTTAGTTCTCTATTAGAACTAAGGTGCCTGTGACACAGGGTGGGAAAAGAACGGGTTCAAAGTCTTCAGAAAACAGCTGATACTCAAAAAAAACCCAAACCAAAACAAAAAAGTTGCTGAAGAACCATAAGACTTGTGAGAAAAAGTGTTTGATAACCATGCCAGCCAGCTTCTAAGGGCTACTTCAGGGCTTTAGACTTTCAGACTCTTCCAAGATTTCACTGTCGTGAGGACAGTCACTGCTTGTGATGAGTATCAAGCACTTTTCCTTGGGGTTCATGCTCCCTGCAGGGAGGCAGTATGGCATGTCCACGAGAGACTGGACAGGAACTCCAGAGGATTTCTCCTCTACTGTACTGACCTGCTGGGTCACTCTGGAGAGGTCACTCCTCTCCACACCTTAGTGTACCCATTTGCCAAAGGAGGATAACGTGGTTCAGATCATCTTTATAAAGTGCTTGGGCCATTCTGGAAAGAATTTGGGCACTACTTCCAGAGAATTTTGGTGCCTAAACACAGAAAATGTGAACTTTTGAGATCTATGGATGACTTGTGCACAACGTGCTAGGAGAAAAATAACCACATACACAATTCTCAAGCCCAATCTCCTTTTCCATGTGCTAAACAATTCCTGCTTATAATCCTTGTGCTAAAATTCTTGCTTACATCCAACAACTGTGGTGTCTGGTGAATATCAAACTCGAGTGACTGCTCACTTCTGAGGTCCTGTGCCACAGTATTTGCAGAAGCAAGTGCACATGGGATAGGGAACTGTCCTAACCTCGTGCTTCTGCAAACAACAAACACCTGCACCTACATCTCCCTCGACAGGGCACGTGCCGAGCTGGCCTCTGGCGAGACACCAAGTGTCACCGTTCACCCCAAAAGGCATCACCTACTTGTGCTCCTGATGCTGAGCTCCCGCTCTGCACCAGCACAATCCCACCGACACAACTTCCTACTTCCTGGTTGACAGTAGTGCAAGATGAGAATGTACCCAAAAATCTGGCTTATCTCCTGCTCTGCTCATGCTTCGACTGGCTCTGCGCGCTTTAAAGCTGTTTCACTCCATCCATGTTCCTTCCTACAAGCCTGTATTAGGTCGGGTTTACATGTAGTATTTGGTTTAGGACTTTGCCTTTCACACGCCTCCATTCCCCTGGCTGGTTCCTGGAGCATTCACCACGAACACCACCCGTGAGCCCAAAAGGGGCTTTCTGCAGCTCCTCCAGGCTTGCTGTAGTGCAAATAGGAACAGGGCTGCATAGAGTGGAAGCACCCGCGTCCCCCAGGTCCAGGGGAAGTGTTTTAGCAGCTGAACGTGGAGAGAGGAGGGGGTGAGACAAAGGGGACTGGA